TATTTTATACATGTACAATGTATATGTAGACAAGAATTAGTATCTATAGCACAAAGTCCTACAGTAGGCATATTTTATACATGTACAATGTATATGTAGATAAGAATTAGTATCTATAGCGCAAAGTCCTACAGTAGGCATATTTTATACATGTACAATGTATATGTAGACAAGAATTAGTATCTATAGTGTAAACAGTACACATCAAATGGAACAAATGAACTATGATTATTTCATCATCACCTAGCGCTCCCTTGTTTGTGAATTGTTATTGTCCATTATGTACACACTAACAAATCAAAGACCCAAGAGTGTAATGTGTTGTTTTTTTTTCAATGAATAAATATCAATGTTTGTCGCATGATGTTTTGTGTGTGAATTACTGATCCGCGACGGCCTGTCGTTTACATGAATAGAATTTAGTGAACCCATACAAAAAAGGAACATGAAATAGGAAAATCGGTTACTGCTGATTTGAGAGTGGCGAGAAATGTTTGAGAAGAAGAAGTGTACTGATTTGATTAAATTAAATATGAAAGTAAAAAGGGCTGCATGTTGCTAGGTATTAAATTAAGAATCAAATAAATAAATAACATTAAATTTAGTGTTACATGTATCTGAGCATTGCCCTTTGGGGTCCTACGCATGTTACAAGAAAAGACTGTTTACCATACTATTTTTTTACGACACGCTTTGTAATTAACACAGTAATGGCAGCCATCTTGTGGTCTATTTATCATTGGTTCCTGGTGAAGACATCTCCTCATATCTAAACTTTTGGCATAGTGACACACATTTATACAGTCCGAGGTGAGGTCGACTGATTGGTGTTGTCTTGAATTATTTTTAAAATCTGGGTTTTTAAAATACATGTACGTTAAAAGTAAATTTTCTATGGTCACTTTCCTCAAAATGGTATTAGTAATTAGCAGACTTTACTGTTAGTTTAGCAAGCTTCTTTCTACCTATATAAATCAACATACATTTTGTATGCGAGTGTTTCAGTCCTGTACTTCAATTCAATAGAACTGCATGGGAGTTCAGGGATGCTGAGCACACCGAATTTCAACACCAGAACTACCGGTAATCGTCATTAATCATACCCTTTTTCCCCAACACTGTTTTGTAATGTATAATCATCTAAATCTGCTAATGTCGATTTGTATCCTTTAATTCACTTTTTTTTTCTATCAGGGTATTTTTTCCTATATTTATTCGTTTTTGTGGCACCAGGTCGCATAGCAGGGTTCTCCCCAGAAAAAATGCATAGCGCCGGGGCTAATTTGCATAATAATTTGCATATCATTTACATATCTTTCCTTCATTGATTAACAGAACTTATTTACAATTATGAATATTAGTGAGCTCAGTCACAGGGCAAATATTTTTTTTAATGGAATCAACACATTATGTTTCACAATTTAGAAGAGTTTGAAACATTCTCGAAATACAAATGCTGCAGACTAAAAACAAACACAAATAAATTATTGTTGCAATTTAATTGTTTTGTAAAACGTTGAAGGAAACGCATTCAAAACGTTAAGCCAGATTTATGTTCACGAATCTCATAATTTTATTCACTCCAAAAACATTCTCCTTCAAAAATCGATCACGTAATTAATTGACGTATTGTTGTAATTTATTATTCGTGCCATCAACTTCTAAAACGTTTACAATTACAGTAATGAGCGAACAAATAAAGCTTCAAAACGATCAAAGTTACGACGTG